AACAATCCCCAACGAATTGGGCAGTAAATTTTAATAGAACGGATAATTTACTCCAATCGTTGCGCGCGTCACGGTGAAGTGGAACGTTCCGTGCAGCTGCGGAGTTCGACATGAATCATGAAGACGTAAAAACAACTCCACACAATTACGACCATGAAGCCGGACAATTGCAAGATGCTGAGGGCTTTCATGGAGAGAGAGTCAACGCCGGCTTTGGGGACACTACCCTCAGACCGGAGGACGCGGATTGCTTGTTGGATCCCGAGAGTGACCGCTGAGCACACAAGGCTGACAATCGCCCTGTAAAATCGTTTTCAGTTCAACTGTGAGGAATTCCATGAGGGGATTACCAAGCCATCCATGTGAGAGGAAGGGATAACATGATTCCAACATTCCAAAGCGAGTGAGTTCCCAGCATCGAGTTTGCGCGGTCCTGTGAAACCTTGTAAATAGATGACGCGAAGAATGTACGAAGGACATACAATGAATCGGTCAAAGCGCTGTGCGTTGCAATCTCCGATACGGAATGCGAGGAAGACCGCATAGACAAACCCGAATAATCCGAATATTCCCCACAGAATGACGAAACTTTGCACGAGGGAGTTGCTCGAGACACCTGCGACAGTCAATAACGCCCCAGAAGCACTGTATTGGGGGATGAGAACAACTCGTCTTCAGAAGGGATAAACGTACGCAAAAAGAGCAGCGTTAGCGGCCCACACCCACGTCTGGAATGCACCCAAGCGATTTTTGAACCGCTCACCATCCCACGCTTCGACTCCGTCATGAACGAAAGGCGGAGCAATCATAAAAACATATGCCGCCCCGATATAGTTGCCGATATTTGCAAGCCACCTACCCACATCCGGAAAAGACAGCCATGCACCCCAATTGGTGTGCCTACCGGTAGGGTTGGGGTGGGGTGAATCGCCGAAAGGCGAGTGGGAGCGGACACCCTCCAGACAAGTAGCTAGGGCTTCGGGAATCGTAAAGCGTGTGGTCTGCTGGGTCGGCACCGCGATATTCGGAGGTGGATGGTAAGTCTTCCTCTCGGTGAGAGTCATTTCTTGGTCAGAGTCCCATTTTTTCGATGGTGGTCCGCGACGACGTATGTCCGAGTCCTGAATGGAACGACTAATGGATGTAGTAATGACGTTGCCCGTTGCAAGGTCCGTATCATCGCCCTGAAAATGTGGTTCCCACTCCCACTGTGTATCACGTCCATTGCGACCAAGTTCAGTGTCGATGAAATGAATGTGGTCCAGTAGGCGATCTTGTAGGGAAGCTAGGATCCGCAATCAGCAGCTGACACGGTGGCGACATTGGATGAACTCACGGTACTCGAGCAACTTATCCAGAGACAAAGCCACTTTAAATTTGAGGTCTGGATTGTCATCACATCTCAGAATGGAAAGGAGCTTAGGAATCAATGGCCCAAAAGCCCCAACAAAGGTAGCTACAAGTAACGTTAGCGCATTTCAATACGTTCTACGTGAACTTACGGTATGCAACTAGTGTTGCGAGCACCCCAACTGCGGTGGATCTCACGGCGGGTTCAAGATCAAAAAGGAATCTGTGGATGGTGGGAATAGTGGCTCTGAGTGCCTGCGAGAGGGCTGTTACCGACGGTCAGAGGCAGTTAACTGAGGGTGCGTACAGACTTACAAGAATCGTCGGAGATCCCATCGGATGATTCGAACATTCTCACAGCGTGTTGAATATCATTGAGGTCACCGAGCACCTCAAAGCGGCAGACGAGGCAATAGCCGAGATCGTTGCTTGGGTCAATATCAGGAGAGAGGTCGACGGCCTCTGTCAGAATCTCTAAGGCTTCCTGAACATCATTAACGTCGTCATTATGCTCAAAGCGACGGAGTAGAGAATCTCCAAGGAGCTTTAACGTAGGAGGTCGTGCTTGATGGTCCGCGGGAAGAGTTTGAAGAGACTCTCTCAGGGCCTGCAGGGCGTCCTCGATGTCGCTCAAACCACCAAGGTGTTTGAATCGACAGAGGAGGGAGTTCGCAAGGTCCTTCAAGATCCACGTCCTCTCGAAATGGAGCCGGCCAGAGAAATCTGCAGCCTCTCTCAGAACAGTCACAGACCGGTCAATAGCATCAAGGCTCCCAAGGCACTCGAATAGACGCAGTGACGTGTGTCCCAGGTAGCGCAAGGCGGAGGGCATGTCTGCGTGCCAAACCGGAAAGAGCGCGACAGATTTTTCCAACATCGAAACAGACTTGATCAAGTCGCCTACGTGCCCAAGGTGCTGGAATTGACAAAGCAGAGAGATGCCGAGGGCCCTCAGCATCGAGGCTCTGTTCGGGTCTCCGTCTGGAAAGAGCGCGACAGCATCTTCCAACATCGAAACGGAGGTGCCTAAGGCGCTCAAGGTCGAAGCTCTGTCCGAGGCTCGGTCTGGAAGGAGAGTGACAGCTTCTTCCAACATCGAAACGGAGTTGATCAAGTCACCGGCATGCCCAAGGTGCTGAAATTGACAAAGCAGAGAGGTGCCGAGGGCCCGCAATGTCAAGGCTTTGTCTGGGTCTCCGTCCAGAAGGAGGACGACAGCTTCTTTCAACATCGAAATGGACTGGGTCAAGTCATCAACATGCCGAAAGTGCTGAAATCGACAAAACAGAGAGGTGCCGAGGACCCGCAATGTCAAGGCTCTGTCCGGGTCTCCGTCCAGAAGGAGCACGACAGCTTCTTTCAACATCGAAATGGACTGGGTCAAGTCATCAACATGCCGAAAGTGCTGAAATCGACAAAACAGAGAGGTGCCAAGAGCCCTCAACGTCGATGCTCTGTTCGGGTCTCCGTCTGGAAGGAGTGCGACGGCTTCTTCCAACATCGAAACGGAGGTGCTGAGGGACCTCAAAGTTGAAGCTCTGTTCGAGTCTCGGTCTGGAAGGAGCGTGACAGCTTCTTCCAACATCGAAATGGACTTGGTCAAGTCATAAACATGCCCAAGGTGCCAAAATCGACAAAGCAGAGAGGTGCTGAGGGTCCTCAAGGTCGAAGCTCTGTCCGGGTCTCTGTCCGGAAGGAGCGCAACAGCTTCTTCCAATCTCGCCACGGATATGGTCAAGTCACTGAGGCTCCCATGCCGGTGAAATCGATGGAGAAAGGAGATGCCGAGGTTTCTATATGTCGAAGCTCTGTCCGGGTCTAAACCGAAGGCCCCAAAGGTTGAAGCTCTGTCTAGGTCTCCGGACGGAGGGTGCGTGACAACCTCTTCGAACACCGGCACAGCCCTCGCCAAGCCATTATGACCAGAGGTGGTGTTTTGGAATATACGCAAATCATTGGGGTCTGCTCTCCGCTGAAATCGAACCGGACCAGACTGGTTAAGGTCTGGCAAGATCGAAGGTTTGTCCGGGTGCCTCTCCGGAAGGTCTTTGAGGGCGGCTTCATACACCGGAACATAGTCCTCTTGGTCCCACCCAACCATGGCTGTGTTGTGAGCACCGGTGAAGGATTGGGGGTCCGAATTAGATGATGGTGTTGGAGGACGCTCACTATGTTGAGAGGTGGTGGTATGTACACCACGGATGGAAGATATAAGTAGAGGGCTCGGGGTGCGACACGAGGTAAGGATCTCAGAAAGCTCGTGATGTAGGTGTGCCACGCTGTGCACATCTGATTGACACCTTTGATTGTCTGAATAGAAACCAAAGCTGTTGAGCCGAGATTCGGTGCCGAGGTAGTAGTGCTGGCCAAAATACGATACGGAAAAATATTTTTTGAATATTCAAATATATCCGAATACGATACAGCCCCAGAGCCTCCGACTGAATATGAATACAACCATGAGTTTCTATGACCTCGTGAGGCATGATCGTTGGGCCTAGAATGAGGTTTATGATCGACGGCATGCTGACGTGAGCAGATCTTTCTGCTCTCCGCCATCATCAGCGCCGTCCGAGGTCCTTCGCCTTCGCCTCCAGCTTGGGGCCTTGGGCATCCTTGGATTTGGATTCCTTTTCCCCGCCCACCCTGGCCCTCTTGAAGCTACGCAATTTATTCTGGATACTTCACCCTCTGGCTTATATTCACAGGGTATCAGCGCCACCGCCAATCCCTCAGCCTTGGTGAAGCCATCCGCCGGTTATCCTTGGCGTCCCACTGGCACCGGGGATTTCGCCCGCTCCCAATTCATAAACGACCACGGTCACGTCAGCTTAAGGAGTTCATAAAGATATGAATATGATACGATATGGATATAATACAATACTGGTCCAACCGTTGTCGCAGTAGCGAGTTCTGCTCTGGTAGACAGAAATGAGGGCCGGTCGTCCGGAAATGGAGTGCAGGGGTGAAGCAGAAAGTCGGTGTGAGGTCCCAGGAAAGTTGTAGAAGCGTAGAGTAGAAATCAAGTGTTGAAAGGGGAAGTTGCCGTGCAGGCGTGGGATACCGGTACGGCTCGTAGAAACTCGATGTGGGAAGAAATATGGTGTAAGGATGCTCGGGGTTCACTGGCGACGTGCTCACGGTGGGGCACTCAAGTCACTGGTCGCGTTGATGCTCGTGGTTCGGGTGTAAGGAGGTAATATTTGGCCATATGTACGTACAAAACAAATAAGCAGTCCGAGGACCGATCGATCGTAAGGTACGCAACGAAAGATTAAAAGGGGGAAAGGCGATGAGCGGGGCATCCACCCCTTCCACACCGTATTCAAATATATTTGAATACGGTAAGTGCCGTTTTTGCCGCTTAAAGAATGTGATCGGCGCAAGTCGGATCATAAGTCCCACTAGGCAGAATTCAAAATTGATTCGGATGTGCCCCGAGCCGCTGCTCCGGTTCAAGATCTGTAAGCTGCGACGATTCGGTGAAATCAAACCCGTAGGAGGGTTCTTCGATCCTGGAGGAGATTTGAGAGGACGTTGAGATTCGAGTAGGGTTTGGATTAAAAATAAATTGGATTGCGACGGCAAACTAGGAGCATAATTCCGTTTTTTTCTCTCTTAGTTTAGCCCAAGTTCAATGGAGAGACAAAGTGGGTGTGGTATATGGGACACAGCTGTTAATCGTGATCATTTCATTGATTATTGCTAAGTTGCAGCAGACTCGGGTTCGATTCCCGGCACCCGCATACCGTGATTTGTGTGTTTTTTTTTTTCGTTCCACCCTCTTGCTCTGTTCACTCTGTTATCCAGCCAAGTGCCTTTGTGTGCTTCCCAGCAGGTCAATGTTGGGCAATGGGATTTCAAGGAACCACTGAAATTGGAATTGAGTAGGACAAGATAATAGTATTTCGATCTGGCAGACTGAGATTCAGCATAATTTCACTTTCTGCGTGTATGCTAGCCAACCTCATAGACAGTGAGGCAAAGTGGGTGTGCTGTATGGTACGCAGTTGTGATCATTAACAGGAAATTTGACTTGAAGCAGCAGACCTGGGTTCGATTCCCAGCACCCGCATTACTGAGTCTCATGCGCTTTTTTCTTTTTGCCCCCTCTCTATTTTGTCACCCTTTTATTCTGCCAATACAACCGAAACTTTGCTTTATGATTATTTTCCAACTTTTCGACCTCTGCAGCATGTTGAAGCTGATTGAGACAATCTTGGCCAGATTCTGACTCCGCAGAATTCCACTTTCTGTGTTTAGTCTAGCCGACGTCGTAGCCACACAGAAAGCCGGTGTGGTGTATGGTACATGGTTGTAATCGTTATGATTTCGATGGCACTTCATCTGATGCAGCTACATCAGACCCGGATTCGATTCCCGGCACCCGTATAGAATGGAAGCCTGAGTGTGGCTCATTTTTTCATCCTTTTTGCTTTTTGGTTCCTGCCCTTTGTTCAGCAGCTATGGGTATGGAAAAGGGCTCTTCGATGTTGTTACATGTTCGAGCCGGTGTTGAAATTGGACTTGGATATAATAGAGAGCTTGCGCAAAAGCCGCACGAGCCGCACGCGGCTTTTGTGCATTGCGCAAAGCCGCGGGTATTTCTTCGCTGTTCTTGATTCTTGTCTTGCTAAATACCATCCAATGGCCCTTGAATCCCATGTTCTACCCCTGAGAGTACTATTTGTTGGATGTGCAACCGTGGGAGGCCGCATTTTTTACGCATCATGAAGGTATCACTCAAGCTCCACTTCCTTTACCCACACTCTCACGTCTGCCGCGCAGCAGAGGCAATGCCGAGGATGTTCCCTCTCCCCACAGCACCTCTCCTTCGCCTCAGGTAAGCTTACATTGAAATAGTTGATTGACACCTCTCACATTTCAAATTTGCCACGCGGCTTTGCACAATGCAAAAAAGCCGCATGCGGCTCGTGCGGCTTTTGCGCAAGCTCTCTAATAACCTGGGTTGTGTGCAAGTTGTAGGCAGACTCAGAATAATTCGGCTTTTTTTCTGCAGTCCAGCCAACCTCGTACATGCTAAGGAAAGTGGGTGTGGTGTATGGAACACAGCTGCCGTGAATTCGTTGGACATGTGTTTGTGTGATGCAGTATAACCGAGTTCGATTCTCGGCACCCGCATACAGTGGGGGGTTCTGTTTTTTTTTTGTGGCATCTGCACCGTCTGATCAGCCTCATCCAGACAGTTCAACCAAAGCACTTTGAGGAGCATTCGTAAATGCCACAGGCATTGAAATTGGAATCAGAAACGGACAAAATATAATTTGGAGGCCGGACTAGGCTCAGCGTAATTCAGGCTTTTCTTAAGCTTGTGTAATCTAGCCGAGGTCTAGGCAAGGGAATGGGTGTGGTGTATGGTACACAGCTGTAATAATTAAGCTTTAACGTATTCTGATTTGATGCAGCCTGAGGAGACCCGGGTTTGATTCCTGGCACCCGCATTCGCAGATAGTACCTCTTTTTTGTTATAAAAAAAATGGTCCCCACTCTCCCGCGCCCTCGATTCGATTTATCCAGCCAATTTAACCAACGCTTTCCAGCATGGTATGGAGCAGTTTAAAGAAACGGTTCAAAATTGACAAAATAACATCAAGTTGATCTGGGCAGACTGAGACCCAATTTTGTGGAGTTTAGCTAGCCTCGTATATGAACCGGAAATGCGGGTGTGGTGTATGGTACACAGCTGTCACCACTGACATGAGCCACTCACTCAATCTGATGCAGCACAACCTGGTTCGAATCCCGGCACCCGCATAGAGTGGGGCTCATTTCTTCATCCTCTTTGCTTTTTGGTTCCGGCCCTCTGTTCAGCAGCCAGCTGCCATGGTCATGGAAAAGGGCTTTTATATGCTAGAGGATATTCGAGAAGGTATTGAAATTGGGTTGAAATTGGACGAAATAATTGGGGTTGTGTTGCAAGTTGTGTGCCATGTGGCAGATTGAGGCTCAGAATAATTCAGGTTTTTTCTTCTGTAGTTTAACCAACCTCGTACATACCAAGGAAAACTGGGTGTGGTGTATGGTACACGGCTGTAATCATTATTATTTCGATGGCGCTTCATTTGATGCAGCACAACCGGGTTCGATTCCCGGCACCCGCATAGCGTTGATTGATTTTTTTTTTTTTTGCCCGTCCACCGTCCACCGTCTGATCCTATTTACAGCCAATTCAACCAAGGTTTTGCAGGCAGTGATACGAGATGACTCGCAAATGTTCAGGATTCCAAATTCATGGACAAAATATTTTGGATTGTGAGACTCAGACTCGGCATAATTCCGTTTTTTTATGCATGCCTTACCCAAGTTCGTAGATAGGCAGGGAAAGCGGGTGTGGTGTATAGTACACAACTGCCGTGAATTATTCGCCGTTGTATCTACTTGATGCAGCATAACCGAGTTCGATTCTCGGCACCTACATATGTATTTCAAATACTCTATTCTTTTTTTTTAGTGGCCTCCCTCCTTCTGCTCAGCCGGAAACTCAATTAATGCTTTTGGGCAGGCTGCGGAGGTGCGCCTCGATCGGATGCTGGAGGATGTTTGAGAGGGTGTTGGCATTGGAATTGGAACCCAAGTTGGACAGAATAATTTGGAGTGCGATGCTAAACTTGAAATCATCACAATTTTGGGCTTTGCTTATGGAGTCTAGCCAAGTTCGTAGATAGGAACAGAAAGCGGGTGTGGTGTATGGAACATAGCTGCAGGTAGTGATGAGGCACCAAACCTCATGTAGCTAATCCGGGTTCGATTCCCGGCACCCGCATATCCATTGACGCAAAATGCATTTTTTCTTTCTTTTTTTGGCATCCCCCGCCGGCTTTGTGACCGGATAATTATCGGCGCTTTTCGGGAGACTTCGGAGGGTACTACGATGTTGTGCGATGTTTGAGAAGGCGCGCGGCGTTGAAATTCGAAATGGATTTGGAAGAAAGAAGTTGGATTGCAAATCTAAGACAGACTCAACTCTAATTTTGTGTATACCTTACCCAAGTTCGTAGATAGGCAAAGAAAGCAGGTGTGGTGTATGGTACACTGCTGTAATCGTTGATGAGCAAAATCATAGTTATGCAGTAGACCCGGGTTCGAATCCCGGCACCCGCATTTGCAAAGAACAGCCTCTTTTTTTTTTTTTTTTTACTCCCTGCCCGTCCGATCAGCCCTTGTATGCCAATTCAGTCTATGGGTTTGAACAGGATTAGACTGTGGAGGGCTCTTCGATGTTGTAATGTGCCATGTTTGAGAGGGCGTTGGGATTGGATTTGGAATCGGAATTGGGCAAAATAATTTGGAGTGCGAGGCAGGCACAGGCTCGGAATAATTCGGGCTTTTCTTATGTAGTCTAGCCAAGTTCATAAATAGAGAGAGAAAGCGGGTGTGGTGTATGGAACACGGCTGCTGTGATTGAGCAAGAACTCGATTTGTGGAGCAGATCTGGGTTCGCATATATTTGTAGCTTGTGTGTAACCTTTTTTTCCCCTCCTTTTTGTCTTTTTGCTCCCTGCCCTCTGGTCAGCAGCCAATTCAGTCCATGGTTGTGGAAGATGGTTCTTGGATGTGGTGACATGTCATGTTCGAGAGGGCGTTGGGATTGGATTTGGAATCGGACAAAATAATTTGGATCATGAGACTCAGACGCAGACTCTGCAGAATTACGGTTTTTTGAACAGGATAGCCAAGTTCATAAATAGGCAAGGGAAGCGGGTGTGGTGTATGGAACATAGCTGCAGGTAGTAACCTGAGCCACATAATCTCATGCAGCTAAGCCGGGTTCGACTCCTGGCACCCGCATTTACAGTTTCAAGTCTTGTTTTTTTTGCCCCTCGGGCCTTTCTCAGAGCGTACATTACTTTTTTTTCTGGCCTTGGAGCTTGGGGGAATTTTTGATACTTGAGACTTTGATACTTGACGTGGGTGAGATTGATCCTAGCAATAGGCGTGGGTGGACCAAAGGCGCGCGGCGAGAAGACAAAGAACGTGCCCTATTATCTGTTGTTCATCAATCCAACTGTCTACCAAAAGAAAAAAGAGTTTGACAATATATGAGCCGGAAATAACTTACAAGCCACCGAAGATCAAGGACACGGAAAGGATCCGTTAGATGGTATGAATTAAAGACCATAGCGGGAGTATTCTCCATGTGAGTCGCGATGCCCCAGATGGGTGATACTGATCGACTTGCATCTGTGCCTTGTCTGCGTGACAGGTGACGAGTGACGTGACGCCCCACTGCTCGCTCGCTCACTGGTCTCTGTTGTGTATGGAGACAGGGAACGACTCGCCGCCTCTGCGCACAACAATCCTCGGCTCCTTCCTCGGCCGCGGCCGTCCCCGCAACTCTTCCCAATCCCACATCGACATCCCCCGCGAGCTCTCCCCGTCTCCGCCCCACGCCAACGCAAACACACAGACTCACCAACCCGCCTCACCGAATCCGTATACTATGATCGTACAAGGCGGAGGTGGCCCCGGCGGAGGCGCACCGGGACGGAGTCACAGAGGGCGGGCTGCACCGTCCCCAACGACGAACCCGCCGTCCGCGACCCCCGCGGGCCTGAGTCTGGGACACATGCTCCGAAGGCGATGCAGCGCCGGGAACATCCCGCAGCAGCAGCAGGGTCACGCAGGGCTTGCGCCGATGGTCCCGCCGACGCCCGGCGGGCGCGCGCTGGCGCCGATGAGTGCGGCAATTGCCAGTGGGCTTGTGGCTGCCAATGGGAACGCCAACGCAAATGCGAATACAAATGGAGGAGGAGGGGAGGAGGTGGAGGGAACGGCCCCTCGCACCGCATCCGCCTCGTCCCGCACCTCGACTCCCGGCGCAGCCTCCGCTTCGACACCATCTCGCGCGACCTCCGCGCAGGCGAGCCTGCCCTGCGCATCGGGCGCTTCACAGACAGGTCGGGTCTAGGGCTGGCAGCGGTGAATGCGCTGAGCACGAACAAGATTGCCTTGAAGAGCAAGGTTGTGAGTCGCGCGCATGCGGAGGTGTGGATCGAGGATGCTGGTACCGGCGGAAGAGGGGGAGGATGTGGGGTACTGAAGTTCTTCATACGGGACACGAAGAGCAGGAGCGGGACATTCTTAAACTTGGTGCGGCGAATACGGAGAGGTGCGTGGAGAGTTTATTTGGGTGGAGGAGATTGGGCTGATTTTTTTGTTTGTGTTTTCTGCGTTTTCGTTGCTGTTCCACCGACGCCCACCGACTTCGTCCTCGCCACTGCCCCCATCATCGTACATCCATCGACCCCGATATCCATCTCACACGCATCACGCCCCATTATTTTATTTTCATTTCCTCCCTCTCCCATACGCATACGCATACTTATACATCCACCCATCCATCCATCCATTTATCCTCGCACATTCATCCACCCTGGTGGGTAGTATATGGCGGCCATCTATGACCCACGTCGTCTCTACTTACACACATCGCTCCTCCTTTCCCCTCTTCTCTTCCTCCCTTTCCCTTTACACCTTTTTACACCCTCCTTCTCTCACCCTCCACACTCATGCTCGCTAACACCCACTGACGACCACCCACAGGCCTCTTCCCCGCCTCTATCCGCGAGTCACTCTTCATCGCGCCCTACTCGCACGCATTCCACTACAAGTGTCTGCGCCCGCATCATCCGGAGTTCAGGTGGGTTCTTCAGTTCTGCGACACTTTTGTGTGGCGTTTGGGGCTTTTTGGGGGAGGTTTTGGGTTTCTTTGGTTTGTTTTTGGCAGGGGAGAGGGGAGGATGTGGGGGATGGGGAGCGGACGTCGCGAGGAGAGGCAGTTGATTGTAGGCGAAGCGTGGTGGCGCGAGCTTGCAGAGGAAGAGTGCCTATGCAGGAGGATGCTGGGCCGAGTACGTGGCCTGTGTAGTGAGACGCGCGAACCACGCGACCTGAGCTAGTAGCAGGCGGTTCCCGTGGAAGAGAGCGTGATGGGCGGCTGTCGGGCCTTGATATGCTCGTCGCGTTTGTGCGAGGAGTCTGTCAGGGTACGCGCGCTGCGCATTGCAGGCGAACCGCGAAGGCGGGGGCGGTTGTCCTCGTCCTCCTCGCACGTTCGTTGTGCTGGACAGAGGACGTCTTGGGGGGTACACGACGAGGACGTGTGAGGACGTAGAGGCGGAGGTGGGCGTCCTCTTCCTCTTCCGCGACGTGTACGCGAAGGACCTCCATGCACGAAAGCCTCGAGCTGGCCCGACCCCAACCAGGCGGGCACAGGAGGTGCAGCCGGCGTGGAGGGAGTCCGCTGAAGATGCGTGTTGTTACGGCGGCGGGGGCGGGGTTCGATTGTCATGGTTCATGATATGGCGTAGTATGTACACACATTCAACCAATGCACATTTATTCATGCCCCGCAAGATCAGCTTGCTTGCCTGCCCAGAATTCCAACCGAAATGTATGGTATTTATTTGGCTTAGGTTGGGGCAGGATAAGCCCTTGTGTATTGTGGTGATCGCCCACACTCATTGAGTTGGGTGTAGAGAGGTTATAACGTATGTGGGCAGCGGGGTTCAACTCCCACCGAGAGTGCGCGCACTGTAGAAGGTGTCCTGTTTTTTTCTTCTTCTCTTACTCTTTTTCGAGCGAAAATTGAGAATTACACTGCATCTGGTTATATCCCGTTGATCCAGCGCCGTTGAATTCCGCACCAGAAGCCATGGCGGGAGGGTAAATATGTATATTTTTCTGAGGCGGTTCAAGTTTAGATGATCTTGCCTGTGCACAAATCAGCCAGAAATATATGTCCTTCCTCCCCGAGGGCATGAACTTTGATTGCCCAAATTTTTTTTTGTCATGAGAAGTCTGCACACCAATCGGAAGTAGGATTCTGGCACTTGGAACGACAGCATTGGGCTAATTGACAGATTCTTTTCCCAAACCCTCTTTGGCTAGGTTGAAATCTGTGTATTCCACGATTTGGACTTCAACGCATGGTGCTGCGGGCGTGGATGCGGGTGCGGATGCGGCGGCCCGCGGGCTCCCGCTTTATGAGCACATGTTCGCTGCCGCGAGTGAACCCATAGAAACTGGCTGTTGGTCCTCCAATCCCATCATGTACACGGATTGATCGTCGTTTCAATATGGGAGGAATCCGTGTTGAACCGTGAATGAACCAGTTCAATGATCAATACCCGCCCAGGACACTTACTCCCGCAATTCAGTCTCTAAAAATATAATGAATGGAGAATGAATAGAATCCTTGAGGCGGTGTAGAGCAACGAGCGAAGACAACTACAAGTTGAATGGGTTGCGGACTCAGAGTTGGAGCACAGCCGCTGATTGAGAGCGGCTCGAAAACGGCACAATGCGGTGCCAAAAGAAATTCGTTCCAAGTAAGTTACGGGAATGATACAAAGATTGAGAGGAGAATCTCGCGCACAGTTTGAAATCTTTTTGATGATTTTTACCCTGCAATTTGAGAGTCGCCAGTGAAGAAAGATGGGAAATCCCGATGGAAATGGCACAGCTAGCAAAGTACCACGATGAAAACTCGCTGCTAGTCTCTGTAAGTACACTCATTTCAATTTCAACTTCAATCTGCAGCAATTTCCTACAACCCATCGCCCGGCCCCTCCTCGCCCTCGCCACCTCCGCCACCTCCTCTAACTACGGCCCCCGGTTGGCCCCCGGCACCGCCGCGCGTGTGGGCCCGCTGTTTGAGGGTAGGTGCTCTACTTTATTTTATCCCTTTATTCCATCCGTCTGCGTTCTTTTAACACTCCCGGAGATGATTCGCCGCAGTTATGGCCGCATGCTTGTTCCGTGTTCCATCCTCCCTTCAATTTTTTACATTGTCTTCTGTAATAGTATTTTCGTCGCTGACCACCTCTCTCTTCCCCACAGACCGTCGTTTCCGAGGGGGAGAATCGCAATAACAAGAGCTCGGGTGTGGATTAACGAAATGGAAAGTGGGAAGTGGAAGTGGAACACATAGACATGACTGTTGGCTCTCCCTGTGTGGTCGGGTCCTCGTGCTCATTCATTCATTCATTTCTTTCTTTTATTCCTTTTTTCCCTCACCCATATCCTCCCCGTCTTTCGCTCGTGCTATCTTCTTTCTTTTTACAGTCCTCATCTCCACATCCTCAGCCGAGTTCACCACC